TCAGCCTCGAACTCCTGGGCTCAAGGGATTCTCCTGCCTCACCCTCCCACCTTGTAGCTGGGACTACAGGTGCATACCACCACACCTGGCTAACTTTTTACTTCTTTATAGAGACCGAGTCTCACTATGTTGCCCAGACAGGTTTCAAGCTCCTGGCCTCAAGCAATCCTCCTGCCTTAGCCTCCCAGACTGCTGGGATTATAGGTGTGAGCCACCATGCCCAGCCCAGATTTAAGTTTCATCTGAGTTGCCAGCTCTGATCAGTTGGTGGTGGCTGCCTGGATCCCCATATGGTGTCAAGTGGCTGTGGGCAATGGGGAGTTGGCAATGGCATATGCTCGTTGACTCTGCATCTTGACCCTTTCAGTGGTTTAGAATGTAGATTCATTCATCTTGCTGTGTTTGAGAGTGCAAGCTTGAGAACCAGACCAAGGAGAGATTCCAGCTTTTCGCTTATCTATTTGCGACCTTGGGCAACCTCCCTAATTTTCTCTAAACTCCTCTCCTTATTTATGGAATGGAGATAATGATGATTCTTGTATCATAGAATCATTGCAAGAATTAAATGAGCAAATGTTTTTAAAGCACAGTGTAAGCATAGTGCTTGGGACATGCAAGTACTAATGTTAGCTTCACTGCACGGATTGATGTTCACCACAGTGCACAGATGTCCCTGAGTGTGCCGTATCCTGGTGTCTACCTGCTCAGTCTCCTTCCATCACGTTCCTTCTGCTCACGCCTCTTTCTCCTGGATTGTTGTAATAACTTTCTGTGCTGTCTCTCCACTCCCAGTTGACAGTGACACTGTAGGGCGGCCCTGAATTTCTGAGTAAGCTGGGTATAATGCAGCACTAGATCTTAAAATTAAGGGGACAAGAGTAGAGCTGGTGGCTGGAGAAGAGAAAATATTCGAACCTTCCCTTGCCGGGAAATTAGTAGGGCCTCTGCAAGGATTGTCTTTTGGCTCTGAGATTAGAAAACATCAATCTGCATTAGGTCCCGGCATTATGACTTCAGAACTCTCTGTAAGAGTGTTCTTCAACCAGAATTGAGAGCACAGCGAGTAGATGGAGGCTGTCCAGGGGTCAGAAGTGTTTTCATGTGGAAGGTACAGAGGGCTGGGGTTCCAGGGGAGGGAGTTGGAGGTGACTGGCCTGAGGTCCAGGATCTGACCCCCGGCAGCTGGACCCGGATTGGAGAGAGCAGCTGAGCTCGCAGGGAGAGGTCAAGACAGCATGAGGTGAAGAGCAGGTTCCCTGAAGACGGGAGCGTGGGCACATTTTGGTCTGTTTACAGAAAGAAGGCTAGAGGAATGAATGAGTGTGAGCGAATGCAAGCAGGAGTTCCACTTGGTCAAGGAATGCCGTTTATGTAAGAGTTCACAGAGAATTCTGTGTTTCCAGACTTGACTCAAAGCCCCTGTGTCACTATTTGAGGCCAAATTCTCACCAGTTTGTTGTTGCTCTGGACTCCTAACTCATGCTAGATTTGAAAGAGCAAATTTTTAAAGTTATCCTGTCAGGTACAATATATGACCCATTAGTGAAGTTGGAAGAGACATAGGACTACTCAATCTGACCTAGAAAATTATAAAAAGGCAATGAATTTAGATGAAATTAATGCAGGATAGTCTTATGCCTCAATAGTACTATCAAAGCAGCTGATGTTTGTGATCATGACCTTGTGCCATCAGAAAACTTAAATTTTATTTAGTATATTTTTATAAAAAGAGGAGAGTATTTGGTTATTTTATGATTTCTGTAAAAATAGTTATGACTTTTTAAAAAATGTATGAAAACTAAAAGGAGTAACTGTTTGGCAGATTCTCTTATGTGGAATACTTAATGCTTATTTGAATAAAGAATGACTGTAGTGTGAAACAGAAGATGATTGCTTAGAAATGAGTGACAGTGTATAATTGTTGCTTGATTTATATTAATACTTTTTTTGGGTTTTTTTCTTGCCAGATTGTTTAACAAACAACAGTGAAGAATTATCAAACAGCACAGTCTATTTCCTCAATCTATTTAATCACACTTTGACCTGCTTTGAGCATAACCTTCAGGTATTTTATATATGATATTTGAAATAAAAATGCTGCCTTGTACACACGAATACTGTGTAATTCCAGGTTTTTATAGTATTAATTGTTGATATTTATCTATACTGATGATGTACAGGAGTTAGTAGACCTGGATTTCTTTTTTTTTTTTAATTTTTGTTTTTAAGATGGGTACAATTTAGGGTTAGGTATTCAAATGTTCATTATGCAGGTACCCTTGTTGATGAAGTGTGCCCTTCCCTCCCCTGGCAGTTTCTCTCAACTGCCAATCCCACCCCCATCCCCTGGCAGTTTCTCACTACTGCCAATCTCTTTCTTATTGTATTATAATTGTTCAAGGTTCGCTTATGAGTGAGAACATAATGTACTCTGTTCTTTTTTTCCGTGATAGATCACTGAGTATGATCGACTCTAAATCCATCCAAGTTGCTGCAAAGTCCATATGTTTGTCCTTCTTTATGGCTGCATAATATTCCAATGTATATATGTACCACTTTTTTAATATTCATGGATCTGGATTTATGCTAAATTCTTCCTCTTATAAATCACTGAAACTTCATTTGTAAAGTGGAGATAGTAATATCGACACTGCCTATCTTCAGGTATTTTGTAGTGAGGATCTGGTGAGATGATGAGCATGAAAACATTAAATGAAACATGTAGTTGTTTAATTAAAACACAATGCTGTTCAATCTGGCAGTAATTTATCTTGACTTTGTTTATACAATAATAAGTTGTTTTGCTGTGCAGTGTGATTCTGTCTGTCTACAGGAAACTTATTCTTTGCTGCAATGTTTGCTTGTATACATATTATATTTTTTCCTTTTTTTTTTTTTGTGGAGTCGGAGTTTCACTCTGTCACCCAGACTGGAGTGAAGTGGCACAATCATGCCTCCGCAGGCTAGACCTGCTGGGCTCAGGCAATCCTTCTGCATCAGCCTTCAAAGTAGCTAGAACCACAGGCACACACCACCACTCCTGGCTAATTTTTTTATTTTTTGTAGAGACAAGGTCTCACCAAGTTGCCCAGGCTGATCTCGAACCCTGGGCTCAGGCAATCCTCTCACCTCCACCTTCCAAAGTGCTGGGATTATAGGTGTGAGCCACCACACCTGGCCTATTTTACCTACTTTAAAAGTACTGTTTAGTAAGGTAACTTTGAGTGTTGAATTATGATGTAAAAAGCAGCCTTCAAGATTCTTACCTTGTCGATTTTTGCTGTCTCCTCCTGTGACTGGGATTTTGGTATTAGAACTTGTCTGGTGGTAGTAAAGGATAAGGTTTGAACTCTGGTAAAATCATAGTTTTGAAACTTACATAATAAGTAAGTAATCCCCACAAGTATCTGTAAGTCTGGTTAGGATATAAGCTTGTATGATTTCTTTTTTGATAAATGCATTAACAGAATTATGCGTTTCCCTGAATAAAAATTAGATGAACATTTTCCAGATGACCTAGCAAAAAAGGGCTTAGTATTCTGTTAAGGTTGGGAAATGCCTTACTGCAGGAATTCAGAACTGTTAGTGGACTAATGTGTGTTGTAAAACCCAAATGGCAGTTTTTGTATGCAGTCAACCCCCTTATCTGTGATTTTTACTTTCCACAGTTTCAGTTGCCCACAGTCAACTATGGTCTGAAAATGTTAAATGAAATATTCCAGAAATAAACAATTCATAAGTTTTAAATTGCATGCCATAGACAGCCTCTTTTCATATAACTTAGAGTACTTATATGAGTTTGCTGAGTAGATTCTTAGAAGTACAATTGTGATATTACCAACCTTAGAAAAAGACTAGAGAAAATTATCTCCAGATATGTTGAGTTTGCTCAGGATGAGAAGTGTGGTGACAATTTGGGATGCACCGGTAAGCCACCAGTGCATCTGGTGAGGGAAAGGTAAAGGGAAGCCTTTGTTAGCAAGAAGAGAGAGATTCATATAATCTGCTTAGAAACTGAGTTCATTGGTTCCAGAATTGTCAGAGCCAGAGTAGTTCATTGATGGAGAGACCAATACCGGGCAAGTGTTCATTCAAGAGCATCTCATCTGAATGGCTGAAGTCCTAAAGAATGCCAGTGATAAGCCTCGGCAAAGCAGGAGAAGCGCAGGAACATGAAAGGGTTTCTTCTGGGTTTTTTTTACAAAGTCCTTGGAAACAGTTCTTGTCTCAGACACGTGAGCACAGGCCTCCTCCTTCCTGCCTTCCCGGCCCTGTTTCAACTGGTACTGAAAAAGTGATTTCATCCTGATGCCTGCAACTGTCACATTATCAAAAGATGTATGCCTTGTAAATATTAATGAAAATGGTTCAGTTACCCCCATCAAAATTATGTGCTCAAGCCGGGCTTGGCGGCTCAGCCTGTAATCCCGTGCCTTTGGGAGGCTGAGGTGAGTGGATTGCCTGAGCCCGCGGGTTCGAGACCCGCCTGGGCAGCGAGATCTCATCTCTAAAATCAAAAATCAAAAAATCAGCCGGGCATGGTAGTGCATGCCTGTAATTCTGGCTACTTGGAAGGCTGAGGCGGAAGGATCGTCGGAGCC